CATACATACATACATTACATTACATTACATACATACATTACATACATGACATACATACTTACATTACATTACATTCCATTCCATTCCATTCCATTCCATTCCATTCCATACATACATACATTACACACCTACATACATACATTACATTGCATTGCATTACATTGCATTACATTACATTACATTACATACTTTAATTGCATACACACATTAATTCATTACATACTTTAATTGCATACACACATTAATTAATTAATTAATTAATTAATTAATTAATTACATACATACATACATACATACATACATACATACATACATACATACATACATACATACATACATACATACATACATTACATACATACATTAATTACATTACACACATACATACATAAATGCATTACTACATTACATAATTACATACAATACAAATTAATAGAACTATACAAAACATATCAAAACATACATAACATAACATAATAACATGACATAACATGCATTGCATTGCATTGCATTGCATTGATACATACACACATACATACATACATACATACATACAATCACCCAGACCATCAAACGGGGTGTCCTGTCTGGAGATCCACGGTACGTCGTGGGCTGGGTCTTCCAGTTATCGGAGACCCGTTTGAGACGGCCGTCGGACGGTCGCCTGGGTGCCCACGAAGCAGCCCACCACATACACGGCCGAGGCCGTCCAGGCCTTGATCCTCAGACCAAGGCGGAGAGCAAACATGCAGCAAGAGGGAAACCGGCGCACATCAAAACATCTAGTCAGTCTATTAAATATATGAAATAAATATATAGATAACTTTGGCTACTTTTGTTGAATGCCAGGAAAGGCCTGGTTCAACATGTGGGCGACATTTGCAAGCCATAGCATGCTGCCCATGTCCCACTACACCAAGAAGTACTTGGTCCGCCGTGGGGTAAATCTTGGGTGTATCCCATTCCCTGTATCAGTGGATGACGATGTTATTCAGTTGCGGGCCTTTCTAGTGACATCGTGATACTCCTTGAAAATTGACCTGTTACCAGGTCATGGGACACATGACCTGTAGGGTCAATCACCACATCACTCGATCTCCGAAGTTCCGCAGGCCTGAAGGCCGGTCGCTCGCGCCTTCGGTCGCTGCGGCGCGAGCGCTAGGAACAGCTTAGGAAAAGACGGTCGCAAAACGGATCACCTAACCAGATGTGACCCCTGATGTGGGTTGAAGTTCGAGACCTCAGACCTTCAAGACTTGGGTTCTGTGAAACAAAACGGGGGTGATATGTGGAAGAAGCAACCTTTTCATGCTGGAACATGGTGCTTGGATGATCTGATTGAGTGCGTATTCAAGCAGCTTGGTTCGGGCGTTGAGAAGAGATGAAACATAATCCTGTACCCAAAGATACCCGTGTCTAGCGCAAAGGGAAGCATGATTCTATGATTCATATGAGCACGGTTAACAGCAATAATCGCATCTGGTCAACCAAACCAAACCCTATACATTCAGCGGCGCCGAACGTGTGGGGCAGTACCCCCTTCCGACCCAAGAGTCATCTGACAAAAGCCAACTGAAAGGTACATCACTGCAGTGTTCCCACAAATCAGGCCAACCGATTGCCTCAAGGCGCGCGCGGGGTACGTGGTACACACTACCTTTTAGGCGACGGAAGACCATACTGACTTGAAGAGGGTATGGTATGCACTCAAAACATGGTGGTACAATATGGTATGGTATGGTATCTAGTGCTATGCACTGTGACTCAAATCTGGAATAAAAACATGTGTTCAATTGTGTTCACGTTCTGATTCTGGGTGGAACAACTCTGAGCATCGTAGCACCGAGCACCATGGGGCTGGCTGGTCTGGTGTCGCACTGTTTGGCTCTTGACCAGTGCTGTGTCAGGGTCTTCGGTGTTCAAGATATATGAGGCCAGCTGCCTGCGAGTCAAGAATGCAACCATGCAAGGAACCTTAGGGCGATATGATGTCAATTTGCATAGGTTTTAGATGAAACCAACAGCATTGCTTCCATGCAATTTCTTGCGTGAAGCCGGGTGCCCTGGCTACACTTCTCGGCAGAAGAGTCACACCGCAATCACTGCGCCAACGACCGGGGCCAATGGCTCACGACTAGTTCGTTCAATTCTTGCCAATCAAGAACAGCCCCAATCTCTACAACCATCCCGGAATACAAATGGAACCCCTATGAATCCAAACACGTGCTATTTGCAGATTCCATTGACATTCTTTAGCACCAAGATGCACCAAGTATGTGAATAGCAACATTTCTCACAAAACACGTAAATACTGCGTGACTGACCGAGCATGTGAACAGTACATGATTGGATTGTCAGGGAAGATTAATGAACCAACCAAATCAAACAAACATCCAAAGCAACCAGTGTCCTATTGTTTTCGTCTAGATTTTTCCATATATTCTGTCTACTGGAATCTCTATCCAATATCTACACCGATCCCTGCTCGCCTCATTTCCACCCACCCTCCCCACCACGTCTTCCCTCCTTGACACGGCACATGCACGCGATGGGTGCTCCAAGCCATAAAGCTCCCAGCACGCCCAGCGGCTCGTGGTTCTCGTCGGACGTGATGGTCACCAGCGAAGGCTTGGCGCATCGGACCAGCAACACGCAGCAGGTGCTGACGGACTGGTGCCAGAAGGTGAGCCAAACCGGGTGCCTCAGGAAGGAGGTCTACGTCAGGTCTACCCCGTCTCGTGCGCGCGCAGAGTGAGGGGGGAGGGGCAAGCACGCGCACGCGCGCGTAGGTGGTTTTGGGGGGGGCAAGGACTAGCGAGAGGCTCGGGGAGAGACGTATGAGAAGCCGTTGCAGGCGTCGTTTGCGTGGGTTCTAAGCACTGATTGAAGTGAGAGACTATGCCTTGAGCACCTTAAGTCAATGGATCGCAACAAATGACCCAAGTCTGGCATAGGAATCAAGAACTCAAAGAGAAGCTTCCTCCGCGACAGGAGGCCTTGCACTTTGCAAAATTGCAAAAAACAGGTCTCGTGAAGTGTCGTGCCTCCTGGCTGACGACAGAACAAAGCCACGACAGAACTTTGCCTAATCCGAAGAAAAATCCTGGCCGCTGGCATAGCCTTCTGGCCCGATAGGCGTCTGGCCCCAAGACTCAGGCATCTCAAGGTCTGCTATTCCCCGCTCTCCTTCATTTAGCCCCAAGGCTGGGCCGTTTTCGGGCATCCGCCGACGCCTTCTGCCCAGCTACCTGAAGCCCTGCAAGAGCATGGCGTTGAAAATGATCATCGTAGCACTCATGGTGATCCTTGGAACAGCTCTGATGTCGCAAGTGGCCTCAAATTCCACCCCGAAAGTTCGCATATCTTTCATCCAAACTCCTGCATCACAAAAGCTTCTTGAGATTCTAACTCTAACGAACACGTTGCCATTCACAGGATTTCCGAGACATTTGGAGATGTAAATCCATTCTGGAAGGGGCGTGTTATAAATCAAGGTCTACATGGCATCAAATCAACATCCCCGTCATTCGCTTCCTTGACAGGGCTGATCAGGGCTGCGTCCACCAGCTCATCAATCCCGTCATTCCAACACATGTCTTCTTCAGTGACTGAAATCATCCGCTTGGCCTCCATGGATGATGGGGTGAAGTGTCAGCGGTAAATGTGATGTTTGCAGAATGACTTCCGAATAAAAACACCACGATTGCAAACATAGTATTCTGAACACCGGGATGACAATGGTGCTGGTCTACTAACCGCCCTCGGTCGAGCATCGTGAAGGCCAGCGCAGCCACCATCTTCCACAGCGCCATGGTGCCGCACGGCGGAGCACGGTCCGCCCCAGCGCGTCAAGTCATTCGGTCATCCGGTGGCGCAGGGCTGAGTAGAATATGGATAAAACAGGTAGATCTTGAAGGGGGTATAGCTGTTTTTTTGGTGGTCCCCTAAAACGATAGCGGCACGCTTTCCAATACATCCCTAGTGGGGATTTGCCTCTCTCTGTTTGAGGACCACTAGATACTTTGGATTCCGTTTGTGTTCTGCGACATGGCTGGGGCATGGCTGTGGGGAGAGTTAGGTGGACAGACTGGAAGAATGCTGTCCACATGTTTTCTTCCAGGGAACAAACTGACGCGATGGGTCGACTTGGTTTCCATGGTGTTATCTTGAAAATAGTAGTACGGCCAGGAGCCCCGAACGTAGCGTTCTTGCTCCTAGTAGTACGGCCAGGAGCTCTGTCTCTGTCTGTCTAATAGATCTCAACCATCAAAGATCACTTCCAAAGATATCTTTGGTTCGATGCATCACGATGCATCCCTGGTCTGGTAGGGGTTGACAATGGGCTCACACTGCATCCGTCCGGGAAGGCGTGAGTCGTGTTGTTGGGAGAAAGTTTCCACGCCGAATGAGGGCTCACATCGCGCTCTACACGGGGGAATTACTCCGACTTGGTGTGTCTACATGATGATCTACAACCATTCGATTATATACTTATACTCTGCTAATCTTCTGCCCTTTCGCTGTTATGCGGGATAAAGAACAAGGCTGATCCCATCCTAGATCCGGAGCTTACATGGATCCATCTAGCTAGTGGATGCGATGTTCTGATTGGACTGTGGAAGGGTGGGTGATCTGTGACAGCCTTTCTTCCCATCAGCACTCTTCCAAGGTGGACTAAGTGTTTACCATGTTTTACCACCCCTTGAGCCGATCAGCACCATGAATCTGAATCCGCATGGCCAGGGCAGAGTCATGGCCATCCGATGGGTCCGAGACACGGATGGGATGGGGTGATCAAGCCGTCAGAAGTGAAGTCAAGCAAAAGCCCTGGGTACTTCTGTTTCTTGTCCTTATGCTTGTCCTGATGTTTGGCCAAGTTCTTGTCCACTTCCCAAGGTATTTCTTGGCTCCTTATGTTTCCAAACGCCTCTCCCCAGCTTGCCACCATGTGATGCCACAAACCCTGGGACCCTTCACAGCCAGCGATGCCCGAATCCCTCCTGCACGATTCCGGACCGCTCCGACCTCGCAGGCGCGGGGGCGAGGGAGTCAAACGACCTGCAGTACCCTCCCAGGTTCCACGTTCCAGTACGGTCATGACTGGTATGACTCATGACTGACTCCCTGTTTTTTGAAAGCTTGGCTCGGGATTCGACCTTGCAGATGACTGGGTGAAATTCAGGAATGGCCGACAGCATGTTTATACATGTGTGCGGTCCTCTGTGTGATTTTGTGTGCGCTTCTTGTTTTCGCCATGGCTTAGGTAGCAGTGGGGCGACTCTCTATCTCTCTCTCTCTCTCTCTGCAGCGTCTGGCGACTGTCAAGAACTCAACAAAAAAACATCGAACAAAGTGCGAGGGAAGGGAAACCAAAGTTTGCAGTGCTTAATCACCTGAGAAAGTAATATATTACTCTAAACGAGTGTCTGTGCTTTTTTGTTGGAACAGTTGAGTTGGGTAAGATCAGGCTCCGTAAAGCACAGCAATTGGTGGGCAGTTCTTTGGCAAGTCTTGACGAAGCTCCATGGGGTGGCACAAAGCGAATGCAGTGCACAGGCATATGCTAAAACCAAGATTATATAATACAATTGATTGGACCGCAGCTTTGTCACAAAAAGTGCGGGTGAAGACTTGTGGATGGTTAGGTGAGGACGTCCGATTCAGGGACTTCTGCCAGGCCGATTCAGCTCGTGAAATGCTTGACTTCCACTCGTCGTTCCTCGAAGATGTTGATGGTCTAAGCACCGTCTGTAAACCCTCCAAGAAGGGTGAAGGGTTCAGCACAACTGTCCACATCCGTAAAGCTTGCTTAAACATGGTTTAATACATCATAAAAACCAACTAATGTTGTATATAGTGATATTAACTATATATATAATAAACATAACTAGGTATATTGTATACACCTGTAACTTCTATGCCTGTAATGAATCAAACATCCACCAGCCCACCTGAGCCAAGCAAGTTCAACGCCCCCACCCATGCTTTGGCCGGGTTGCCCCAACGGTCCCCGACCCAACTGCCGCAGCAGCTGCTGCGCGTGCACCGGCAGTGCTGCGGACAAAGCCACCTAAGAAGCGCACCATCCGGGAAAGGAGGAGGAAGGTCCACTATTTAATTTAATGTACCAGGACACCCTGTTTGGGGTGTCTATTGATAGCCCCTTAGAGGTGATTCGGGGTGTCCATTAACCACCCCTTGTGGGTCCTAGTAGACTCTTGCACAGTAAAACCTCCCATTTGAATGGTGTCTGCGCATATTGATGTCGGTTGAGCATAATGTAGCAAAATTTGTCAAACTGGAGATAACATGTGAGGGTGAATACAGTCTTTGGGTTCCTCGGGTGATGTATACAACAAGCACGTGACTACCTGCAAATAGACAGTGTTGAAGCATTTCATCACGTTTTTGCTTATTGACTACAGCAAGTCACATGAAGGGCAATTCACGTGGGGATGATCTACAAGCTGTACTTCAACTCAAATGGACACCATTTCAATCCATGTTCCGCCGTGATGTTAAGTTCAAGCGCATCTTTACCAGCTCAGAAGCGTCAACCCTGCTCCGTAGGCACGTTCTGCCATGCCACTGCCACCTGCTCCACTGGCACCTGAGCGTCTCCTTGATGGCTGCAAAGCGTGTGGACGAGAAGATCGAGTGAAACTTGATGACATTTCTTGGTCGGTGATTGGAGGCACTGTTATGTAGGTATGGAGGGTCCAAGTACCTTCTGAGGAGGTACTTGGATCCCTAGGGTATCTTTGCAATATGTTTTTTGGGGATGCAACACGTACATACGCGTATGACGCGTATGCTTTGAAAAGTCCAGTGCAGGCCAATCCATGGAGCTCTAGCCATGGAGCTCTGGACGCATCTCAACCCCTCGCGCCTGCAGCTGAGGGAGCGCCCGCGGAAGCACCGCTGGCCACGAACCTGGCCTCAGAGGGAACTCCAAAGCTGCGTCTCATTTTGTTGCAAGCATCTGCCGAATCTACCTGGTACTGGAAACACCTTGGAGAAGAAGAACCATAAACAACTTTTAAAATATTTAAGGAGTCCCACCAACATCTACCAAGCCTAATAATTATACTTGTTTCTCATAGTCTTGTTCCCCCTGTATCATCCTTGATCCAAGGAACCGTCTGGAAGTGGATCGTGCTTGGAAATTCCCGGTTCTCTCCAACAGACGTGCTTCCTACTTCGGTCCACCTCCATGAGTTGGATGCTCGTGAACATAGGCTGTTTTGTACGACTGCATGCGTGAAAACATCGTACATCTCAAATTGGTTCAATGTATACAAAGCCCATTCCCATGATTCTCGTCCTACTTCCATTTTCCTTGTGAGCCCTCTTGGAGTCTCTTGCAGGTCTTGCAGTCATACTTCCACACCTAGGCACCCACTCGTTCACCTTCATCAAGGGCGGCATGGCCCACCACCCCTGCGCCACGGCCGTGGGCTGCAGGAGCAGCGGCGGAACGTTCAGCCCCGGTGCGAGCACGTGGGCGTTCAGCGCCGCGCAACAGCCCCGCCAGCCCTCGGCAGTGTGGAAGGCGCAGCGTCGGTGGTACCTGCATCGGCGAAAGGCTCAGTGGAAACCCGGTCCCAGTTTCCAACTCGGGGTTGGCAGTACCCTAACACTAAGTGGATTAGGCCCGGCCCTTGGCACTGGCGCCTTGCATGTCTGGACTCGACCTACGCACGCGCGACCGGTTTCCCAGCCGGTCGCACGAGCTCCGTCCGTCCGGTCCGGGCGCACAGGGCGCTCTCTAAGCGTTGGTCTTTGGCATCCACAAGGGCACCCACCTTTCGACGGCCGCTGCTTGTGGTGAGGACTGGCAGTAGGACTGGCAGGGGCAGGGGTAGTAGTAGGATGTAGTAGGTATATAGTAGAGCAGGGCACCTAGTATAGTAGAGCAGGCAGGGCACCCACCCTGCACTAGTATTATGTCGGGCACGCCAGCCATAGATACAAGGAGCCAAAATAATTAAAAGCAAAAGGTAGAGCAAACAAAAAAGCAAAAACATGTAGCTGTGCGTATTTGTCGCTTTGTTTTCACTTTTATTTCGCTTTATGTTCGCATGTTTTTCGCTTTATTTTCGCATTTGTTTCGCTTTTGTTCGCTTCTTTTCCTAGGAGTGTGCAGCAAATATTGCTGCCGGGTAAAAGTTCTCATAAGTGCAGAAGTGGTACCAGGAGAAAAGAAAAAGACACAACAAATGCAAACACAAAGCAAATTGCGCTGCTCTTGCATTTTCATTTGCTTTTTTTTTTGGTTTGCTTTTCTTTTTTTCGCTTTTTTTCACAAACAAAGTTATTTGATGGTTGGTCATGTATGGCTGCCACTGCCCAACATAACACTAGTAGTAGGTATAAATGTGAATTTGAAGCAAGAAACAAGATGTGAAGTCATTCCATGATGACTGCGCTCGATTCGCACTCGTTCTCGCGCCGCTTCCTCAAGCGCGCTTGGGCCACAACATGTGGCTGCTCGTACATGAGCCCTGAAGGAAAAGGCCCCTTTTGTTGCAGACGGAAACCTAGAGCGTTCCGCATCGACGGTGAACTCGGTTTGATCTCCTTTCGTGTTCCCGTGTTTTCACATTGGTAGCGGAGCTGCCAAAGAGCAGCTCCGGATCCATTTGCCGCCATGTCTCGATCCCCGAAGGGAAGCTCGCAAGCGAAAGAGCCGGCCGAGAAGGCCACCTCTGGAAAAGATGAAAGAAGCTACATCCCGCGCTTCGACAACACGATGACCGGCTACCGAGAGTGGCGCAAGAGGATCCTGCTGTTCGCCCGCCGCCAGGCGATCCAAGGAAGAGCAAATGAGACAGGTCTGTCAGTCCTGTCGATCTTGGAAGGTGCAAGCTGGCGCCAATGCGAGGACTTGGACCTAGACGCCCTCGAGAAGGACGATGGCCTCAAGAGCATTTTGCAGAGGCTGGACGCCCAATGGCAGTATGATGATCGGGTTGAAATGCCTGACGCATTCGAGAAGTACTTCTACAAGACGCAACGTCGAGTTGGGCAGTCGCTCCTTGAGTTCTGCACTGAGCACCAGCAGTCACTTCGAGAACTTCAAAAGTACAAGATATCGCTCCCCGAGCAGGTCGCTGGTTGGCTGTTGTTGAGAAAAGCTGGCTTGAGCAAAGATCAACAGCAGATGATCTACACACAGACCGGCACCGACATGTCCCTCAACAACATCGAGAAGTCCATGTACATGATCCTCGGACAAGATTACAAGCATGTCCACCAACCTGCTGTCCGACGAGCTCAGAACCAAAGCTTCCAAGGACGATGGAAATCCCGCCAACTCATCCACATGGCTGAGGACGATGAGCTTTGGGAACAGGATGACTGGACAGAAGACTATGAGCCCGATGAAGATGCTTTCTACGAAGCTGATGAATGGTATGACCAGGAGTACGACCTCGTTGATGACCCAGAAGATTTGGCATACCTACATCACACCGATGAGGACACGATCTTCGACACCGAAGAGTACGACATGGCAATGGCAGCTTACACTGATGCCAAACAACGGGTGCTTGAACTCAAGCGCTCACGTGGTTTCTATCCAGTGGTTGCTATGGTCGACAAGAACCAGCTCCCCGTCATGGCCAACGCCAACAGCAGTTCAGGTGGAAAGAGTCCGAAAGGACGTGGGAAAAAGGGGAAATCAAAGTCCAAAGCACCACAAGGAAAAGGACCACAAGGAAAAGCTCGTGCACGTGATGCAATGGTGTGTCACCGATGTGGCAAGCCTGGACACTTCGCCTCGCAATGCAAGGCAGCAAGCTCTAGCACGACCCCGACCTCAGCAAAGAAGAGAACTTTGGAGGAGTCAGATCCTCTCCTCACTGGCATGGTTCTGTTTGAGAATGTCATGGCCTGTGAGAATGACACCTCTCCAAAGAATGTCATGGCTTGTGAGAATGCCACCGCCCCTGAGAATGTCATGGTTTGTGAGAATGCCACCTCTCATGAGAATGTCATGACCCTTGTGAATGACACAGTCCAAGTCGAGTTCTATGACTGTGAAGAGTTCTTCGAATGCGAAGATGCCTACAGCAGCTCAGATGTCCTCGTGTCTGAGCATGAATGGCTGGTCCCTCCAGAAATGGCAATTCAGGATCAAGGAGCATCTAGCTTCCTGATCGGCACGGAGTACCTCCTTCGCTACATGGCTTGGTTGCAGCTCCTTGGCGTCGATCTCTCACGACTAGAGTTCAAGAAGTGCAGCAAACACTTCAAGTTTGGCGGAGACGCCAGTGGTCACGCAAGATGGCTTTTGTCAGTGCCCACCTACATCAACGGCAAGGCAGGCTTCATTCAGGCCTACATCATCTTCGGAGCTACACCTCCCCTCCTTGGGAGACCAGTGATGGAAAGGCTTCAAGCAGTTGTCGACTTCGGGGCCTACAAGATGCAAATCCTTGGCAGTGATTGGCTTCCAATCGAGAAAGGACGCCAAAAAACCATGCTCATGAGGCTAGCTCGCAAAGAAGCTGGTCCAATGCACTTCAACAACCACCAGTTCGACCTTAGAACTGAGGATGACCACCATGAGATCCTTCGCTTCGACGACTTCATTGAAGACATGAAGGCCCAGAGTCGCTTCAAGTGAATCAAGAGCAACCTGGAAAAGACCTTCAAGCCCTCCACGGTCTTTACGGCTGAAAAGCTGGAACCACCTCCTCAAGAAGGTGAGAAAGAAAAGAACCAAGAGTCACTTCGCGGTTTTTGGAACATGGTGCTGGAACAGATCTGCAAGGAAGAAAGACGACTACAACGTGAAATCCTTCATGCCCGTGATCACCAACCTGACCGACAGCCAGTGGTCTGGGAAGTCTATGTCGGACGTGGCAATGTCACCAAAGAATGTCAAAGACTTGGTGCCAAAGTTCGACGCTTTGGATTTGAAGATGGCTGGAACTTCAACAAAGCAGCCGACCGTCGTGCCTTCCTGCAGCTAGCTGATGAAGAAGCACCTGATGAAATGTGGTTGAGTCCAAAATGCACACTATGGAGCACCATGCAGAACATCAACGTCAAAACAGAAGATGATCGGCTTCACCTCAAAGCTCGCCGACAAGAAGACCATGAAAAGCATCTCAAGTTCTGCCGTCGTGCTTATCTTGGACAAGTGCGCCGAGGTTCACATGCTCACATAGAACATCCAGCTCATGCGCTGTCCTGGAAAACTCCAGCTTTTGCCAACCTTCCCGGCTACAAGGTCGTTTTTGATCAATGTGAGTATGGCGCAACTACGATGAACGACAACCACGAAGAGATGCCCATCAAGAAGCCAACAGCTCTTCAAACAACAAAGTTGGCAATGGTCCGTCGAATGTCCAAGAGATGCAGTGGTGATCACATGCACCAAACCCTCGAAGGCAGCAATAGATGCCACAAGGCTGAGGACTATCCCATCAAGATGGCACAGCATATAGCACATGCCCTCGTTCAGCCTGAAGGACTTGAAGAACAGACCTTTGCTGCTGGAGATGGCGATGAACAAGAGTTGACTGGTGTTCTTCGAAAGCTGGCCACCACCCATGGATCGGAAGCAGCAAGATTAGCATTCCGTCTTCATCGCAATCTTGGACATCCACGAAAAGAACTTCTAGTTTCCCTCCTTCGCCAACGTGGATGTGGTGAAAAGATCATCAAGGCAGCCGAAGATCTTGAATGTCCATATTGCAAGAACTTTGCAGTCCGCAAAGGTGCAGCTCCAGCTCATCTCAGCAGAGCCGAGAACTTCAACACCCACGTACAAGCTGATGTGATGTGGTATGACCTCGTGAATGAGGATCCTGACGGAGCCACCAAGCGGAAGGGCAAGAAGATCCCCATCCTCGTCATGGTTGATGAAGCAACTCGGTTCATGAGTGCCCGAACCGTTCCTGATGAGCAAGGTCCTTCACTACAAAAAGCCCTTGAACGAGGTTGGATCCGACATCATGGCCCTCCTGAACGTCTCTTTGTCGATGAGGCCACCGGTTGGGCAAGCGACAACTCAATGAAGTGGGCTGAAGAACATGGCATTGAAATGAGAATCTCACCAGGGCAAGACCACACAAGAACAAGCATTGTTGAACGACGACATCAACTTCTTCGAAGAGGTCTTGCAGTTTTCATCCGTGAGCATCAGTTGACAGGACTTGTTGGACTCCAAGATGCATTGAATTGGATTGTCCCTTCTTTGAACAACAACACCTTTGTCAACGGCTACACACCGTGTCAATTGGCTCATGGCAGGCAACCCAATGTGCCTGGTTTGCTGAGTGATGAACGCACCTCACCTCTTCAGCTGCAAACGACTGAACAAGAACGGCTGTACAAGAAGCTTCAACTACGAGCAAGTGCACATGCCGCATGCGCCAAAGCTGAAATTGATGTCAAGCTCAGAAGAGCACTGCTGAGAAGGTTCACTGGCCAAAACGAAGACCTATCTACAGGAGAACGATGCCTCTACTGGAGAGAATCCAATGATCGGTTCCACACAATTCAATGGCGTGGTCCTGCAGTGGTTCTAGCTGTTCAGCGAGATCCTGATACCAATGTGGTTGACACATACTGGATTGCACACGGAACTTCGTTGTTGAGAGCTGGCAAGCAGCATGTCAGGAAGCTTCCGAACCTGCAAGGCTCCATCGGTTCCACAGAGCGAGCAATCCAAGCAATGGAAGGACTCCGACAGCGACGTGTCGTCCGCATCATCGATCTCGAAAGAACCAATCGCCAAAGTCTAGACGACATGGACCCTGACCACGCAGAGGCTGAAGAACTCTTGGCTCCTGAGGTAAACATTGACTTGGAACCACTCCAACATGAACACCATCAAGCACCTCTCAATCAAGGAAATGCTTCAGAACCTCCAGGTCCAAACGAACCTCATGGTCAGAGTGAACCACCAGGTCATAACGAACCTCTCGGACATCCTGAGAGAGAACCTGATGTACCAATGGACCCAGGTCAACTTCCATCAGTTCCTGAAGATCAAGATCTCGATGAACCACAACAACAAATGCCACCGTCAGTGGCAGAGCCAGATCCTGATCCGGAGTTGGAACTCGATCCACTATATGCTCAACCAGCTGGCTCTCAAGAAACCTTTGAAGAACGTCGACGTCGATTTGATCAACAAGAAACCATACAAGCTCGACGAGTTCATCCAGTGGTTCCCATCACTGAGCCAGCAGAAGAGCATAGAAACAAAAGGATCCGAAGACCACAAGAAGAAGATCTTCAAGTTGACACCGACCTCCTGGCCCTTGATGACACCATGAACACCGACAGCCTCAACAACTTGGTGGAAGGCTGGTCGTTCGACAAGGCCACCGGAGAGTTCGTGCTGGGTGAAACAAAAGACTATTGGAGTTTTGAAGATGGCTTTCTTGTTCGCAACCATGTGTGGTCCAGAAACTCCACCTTCACTTCCGAAGAAGCACCACTTCCAATAGCAGCAGAAGAACTTCAATCAACAACTGGTTTGACCCTGCCAAATGGATCTCGCCAAGTTTTTGTGAACAACAAGGAGACCTACTCAATTGGCAAGGATCAATGGGTTGGCAAAACTCTCTTCCCGCTCACAAAAGAAGCAGCACAAAGCCGACACCTGCCTTATGCTGGTGATCTCAAGGACAAGCTCAACACCCGTTGGACGCTGCGATGCCGTGGGCATATTTGGGCTGCAGTCACTGCACAAAAGAAGAAGCCAACACCCACCAATGTTGATGAGAAGAAGCTTTCCTGGGAAGATCGTCTCGCATTCGTTGAAGGCAAGAAAAGTGAACTGAGCTCGATCTTCGAAAATGGTGTGTGGGAGGTGGAACTACATCCACACAGTGTCGCTCCAGATCGCATCCTTCGAGCAAGATGGGTTCTCGCTTGGCGCACTGGAGCAGGAGGTGAACAACGAGCAAAAGCACGCCTCGTCCTCCAAGGGTTCAATGATCCTGACCTTCTTGAAGGAAAGTTGGAAACAAGCAGTCCCACTTTGTGCCGAACAGCTCGCCAGACTTTGTTGGCCATCGCGTGCAATGAAAATTGGGAAAAGTGGGTGAGCGATGTTGCAACAGCATTCCTCCAAGGCGATCCTCAATCTCGTCAGTTGTGGGCAAAGCTTCCTCATGATGCCTGCAAAATGTTGAACTTGGAGAGTGGAGCGTTGATGAAGTTGAAGAAGCCGCTTTATGGTCAAGCTGACGCACCACGTGAATGGTACAAAGTTGCAACCAGGAAGCTCCGACAGTTGGGATTTGCACCTCATCCCCTCGAATGTTGCCTCTTCCGACTGTTCGATGAGAATGACCGCTTGGTATGTTTGATTGGCCTCCACGTTGACGACATGCTAGGTGCAGGCGATCCAAGCTCATCGATGTACCAAAAGGTCAAAGGTGATCTTCGCAAGACCTTCGACTTCAAGCACTGGAGCGAAGAGGCAGAAGGCAAACAACTTGAGTTTTGTGGCTGCAAACTAAAGAAGACTGATGAACAAACATGGCAATTGCACCAGGAAGACTACATCCCTGGAGTGAAACCTCTGACAACGACGCCAAAAGGAGACCATGATCCTCTATCTCCAAAAGAAGTGTCAGCACTCCGAGGATTGTTGGGAGCACTACAGTGGCCATCAACACAGTCGATGCCGCACTTGAGCGCTTCAATCTCCCTGCTTTGTGGTAGCATCAACGGTGCAACAGAGTCCATAGCAAAAGCTGCAAACAAAGCACTCAGGTTTGCCAAGAACAACAAGGACGCCTCCCTACAGTTCACAAGATTGGGTGATTTGAATGAACTATGTTTGACCGCCGTCAGTGACGCTGCATGGGGTGTCCGCCCCGATCACCTGAGCCAAGGAGGATACTTCATCCTGCTGTCCCACAAGGACGTTCTGCAAAAGAGTGGCGATTTCAAGTATGTCATCCTCGACTGGAGATCATACAAGTTGCCACGAATCAGCAGAAGCAGTTTGAACTCTGAGTCTCAAGCCTGCAGTGCCGCCATGGATTCCCTCGAGTACATCCAATTGTTTTGGGAGGGATGTGTCAACAGCTCATTCACCACCTCAAATGTGGATGAAAGAACTGGTCGACTACCGTGTGCACTTGTGGTCGATGCCAAAGCCCTATATGACTGCCTTAAAAGCGAAGCACCACAGTTGACTGGGGACAAGCGCACCCAGATCGAGGCCTTGGTGATCAAAGAGAAGATGACCACCACAGGATGTCTCCTGAAGTGGATGTCCAGTGAATTTCAACTGGCTGACGGCCTTACCAAAGTAGCTTCAAGGCAGCTCATGGCAGACCGCCTACGAACACACATGTTCACCCTCCAGTCCGACCAGAGCTTCACCGCTGCCAAGAAGAAAAGTCCAAAAGAGCGACATGACAATGCACGCCGCAATGCATTGACGAAAGCTGAAGCCCGAAGAGGATTGGCAATGATGATCATTTTGGGATCATCAAGTGTAGCACAAGCAGCAAGTGAAACAGGTGATACCAACGAGACCTACAACATGTATGTTTTCATGCTGTTTACTGCACTCGCCCTTTTTGGTGCCTCTCAAGCTTTCATGAACATGCTCAAGGCCCTTGTGAATGCCTTCGGCAAGGTGATGAACGATGAGAAGTCCCAGAACGTGATGGACATGGAAAGTGAAGAAAGTCATGAGGTGGTAACCACAGAAAGTTCCGTCCAGACGACAGAACAACTTCAGAAGCTGGTGCCGACCCGACTTCGTGAAGAGAATGAAAGATTGAGAAATGAAGTGAAAGAGCACATTGAAGCAAATGCAATGCTCCAGCACAGGATCAACTACCTGGAAGCTGAAGTCCATCGGCAAGATGATCGAATGGATGAGTATGAAGTTGGTTTGAGAGAAGCAACCACCGAAGCACGACTCGCAAATGCGTCATACCAACGCACAGTTCAAGCCCTTCAAAGCCTACAAGGCCAACACCATGTCCTACAGCAAGAGCACCGCAGAATCCAGAACTGCAGAGAAACTTCGATTCCGAAGGAAGTTTTCATGACCACACGTGGAACAAAGTTCCATGTAGACCCACAGTGTCCAGCATTCCACAACGCATCTGGCCAGACGGCCATAGAGAGTTGCAAAATCTGCGAGAAGCAGATTGAAAAGGATCGCTGGTGAAAGACTTGACCTAAGGTCAAAAGTTCTTCTTTTTCCACCAGTGTGAATTTGAAGCAAGAAACAAGATGTGAAGTCATTCCATGATGACTGCGCTCGATTCGCACTCGTTCTCGCGCCGCTTCCTCAAGCGCGCTTGGGCCACAACATGTGGCTGCTCGTACATGAGCCCTGAAGGAAAAGGCCCCTTTTGTTGCAGACGGAAACCTAGAGCGTTCCGCATCGACGGTGAACTCGGTTTGATCTCCTTTCGTGTTCCCGTGTTTTCACAATAAATGTTTCTCATGATGTGGGTGGCAGTGGAGTGGAGTCATCTGAATGAGTTGAGATTTAGAAGGGGTTTGAGGATTTGGGAGGGATCTTGGGGTGCCCCAAGGGCCCACCATGGCACACATGGCACATGATTGGCTGTGAAGGGCAGGGCACCCACTTCGTCAGTCGACTGTCGCAGCGGAGCGTCACATGAAACACAAAGTAGAAACAACTTGTGTTAATCTTCGCATAAGCATTGACAAGCATCCAACTTTGTCCATGTTGCCTCTACCCAAAGCAGCTCTGTCCTTTGATGATTTTGATATCTTTCTTCAACTCCCCCGCGCCATAAAAAAGAGAAGAAACAACGCCCGAACAAGGCACATTCCCCAAGCAGCTCTGTCATTACTATGCCGTCATCTGACGTCTTTCTTCAATCCCAACCCAAAAAAAAAACACACGAAAGATAATCCACAGCAGCTAGCTACTGAATACTTAGACCCTTGGTTACAGGGTGGGACACACACCCACACCCACGCACGCTGTCTGCGCGCCGTGTCTGAAGTCAGCCGGCCTCGTCGGGGAACTGCTGCAAGGGTCGCAGGCACAAGACGCAAAAGCCCAACGCCGTGGCCGCGTGCAGCGCCTCGGCGCGGAGCGTCTGCTCCTCCGCGCTGGGCCTCGGCTCCTGCGGAGGGACGGCCCGGGGGGCCCTGGGGCCCCCGGGAACATGACGTATCTACCAGGACACCCTATAGAGGGGTGTCTATTGATAGGCCCTTAGAGGTGATATAAGGTGTGTCTATCAAACCACCCCGACCGTGGGTCCTAGTAGACGACATGTGTTAACTTGATGTGTTTTCGTTCTTCCGCGCTCGCTCTGAAGCGAAGAAGAGCGCGGATGGACTCCCACTCGAGTGTGGGGGGATGTGGGAAGCACGTCGCGTGTTCCATGGAGCTTAGATCATCCTATGTAACATCAGTGGATCACAGGTCCCAAAGACTGGCTGACAACTAGCTCCAAAGGCTCGAGCATTGGCAAGTGTAGCTACTTTCCTGCTTTCTCAAACTGATGTGGGATTCTCAGTTCATCAACAGCGGAACACTCAAACACCTTTCTGGTCCATGAACACTCCTTTCGTGTTCACTCACCTCGCCCGGTCTTCTCCTTGGCATGGCGTGAAAGAAGCTCCAGCATCTCTTCTTGCGCCACCTTGCCGCTTGGCCCAAACATTGCACTGCAGGAAACCCGGGTCAGCCCAGGGTGGGGAAAAACACACAAGTCATCTACGTGCCGAGTACCAAAACCGGTTCAGAGTGTTCGTGCCACTACGCGTCAACACCTGAGGGTCTTGTTGGGAAGGATGCGGCAAGGCTTCTTCTCCTCACCGCCAAAAGAAACTGGGGCACATCCCATCGACGACAATCGTACGTATGCCGTATAGCTGACCTTCCCCATGTGAACCAAACAAACCTATAGGACGCCCTAGCATGATCCAGGCCAATGTACTATACTAAAAGCATCTAAAAGCATCTAACATCTACTATGTAAGATCTGGGTAAGTCTTCTAGTTTCAATGGATTCTGCAGGCTTTCTTCTCCAAAAAGAGAGGAGAGAAGTTGTTCAGGGCCTTCACCAGCTCGTTGAGCTCTTCAATGGACCTGGCATCCCCCAGATGGAGCCACTCGCCATGCACGTGCTTAAAGAACTCGCCGAAGAGCCGTTCGAACACGAGGCGCTCGCCTGCGGAACATCGAGCGTGCTTAGCTGGTGAAGAGCCATGGTTTCCGGTAGAAGTGTTCCCTTTGTGACGAATCTGTTGACTCTATATAGAGAGATCTTTGAAGACTACTAAAGAAAACAACATGATCGTGGAAGGACATGCACTGATGTAGTAAAGCAACCAGATTGTGAGACTTGCACTGGCTGGTTGAAACCATGAATCTTCACTTGAGGGAACTAGCGCCCTCGCCAGCTGCCCGCCATGACATTCTCCAAATCACCCAGTCAAATTGGTCAGCTGGTTTAGGATTGGCTCAACTAAACCTTAGGGATCCAGTCGTGCCTCCTCAACAGGTACTTGGACCCTTAGGGAAAGGAACCGAAACCCACTGCTGGACGGTCCCTCATCGCAGCATGGTGATGGGCCCGCTGAGAACCCGCCAAAGTTGGACCACCCCAGAGTGACGAAGAACTCGAGTTGCATCTCTGATCCTGGAACTTCGTAAACGGGCAGTGTCACAACCAAAAACACTGCCACATATTCTTAGAGATCTTCCATGATAATGATTCTGGATACCAGCTGTACCTCACCCCTGTACCCCACCCCCTTCCCAACAAGTCTACAACCCTCCATCTGCGCACCTCTGCGCGCGCAGGGCGTCAGGAACTCCCGCACCTCTGCACGCGAGGCGCTTCCCGCGTCGACGCCGCTTCCGCCGCTTCCGCCGAAGCGCAGCGCGGCGGCGAGGCCCTGGGCAGCACGGCAGGCCACGTAGGCAAAGGGAAAACCTGGGCAACGGGGAAGGGACAAGACTTGGATCGGGGGGCACATGTCGATCTCTCCAAAGTAGACAAATGACACAAGAGAACATGCAAATACAATGCGCTTTGGTATCAAACCAGGGCCACAGCACTGACTCAGCCATTTGGGGATCTGAACTGGAATCGCCACCTAGATGCATCCGAAAGGTTCACACCGCTCCAGAAGAAATACCACCAACATAGAACGACTTCAACAACCACTGCCAGCTTCTTCAGTTCGTGACCTTTTTGGAGTCCCTACATTAAGTGACCTTTTCCAGTTTGTGACCTCAAACCAGCAAATCAAAAGGTCACTTTGAAGAACCAGGGGAGCTCAGTTCCAAACTCTGTGCCATCCACTTTCACCTCAAAGAACCCCCCACACACACATCCCAGCGCCCTCGTCCACGCGGCCGTGAGTGGCTACCGCCGCGGCGGCGCGGGCGAAGGTCTGGGTGCGGCGCTGCGCCAGGCAGAGGAGACCATCGAGGGCCAAAGAGGCGCAAAGCTGAAGACGCAAGGTCCTTGGTGCGTGGCTGGGTGAGGTGAGAGCTGGCTGGATGAGGTGCTTTCAGTGCCCAAGCAGGAGGTGGGAGCTTGGAAGTGGTGGAACTATGTGGAACTGGCCTCCGATTCGGTGGATGATTCCGTTCTTGAGGCGGCCCAGAACTGAAGTCGAACATCATATGTATACGATGGGTGGCTGTGGGTGGGAGGTGCATTCTCGTTCTGAGGCTCCATTGATCACCTGCAGTTCCATGGTGAGACCTCCCAGTTCTGGAGTCCGTGTTCGCCCAGCCGCCCACCATTGCGGACTGGTGGCTCGCTGGAAGCCCACATTTAAAAAAAAACACTCCACAGAAGGTTCATGGTTAAAGAAGAGCAGAAGGCTCTTCCACCTGCTTTACACTCCCCGAAGCAATCATGGAAGTGGAACATGGCCTCTTGGAAGACTGTTTTCCTCTGCAAACCGGTGGTTTTCTACTTCCATGATTGTTTCAGGGAGGGTTGTTCCTTTTTTCACCTGGCTTCTGCCAAGCTAGAAGTTCGCAAATTCACCAGATTCCTGATGGTTGGCATTCTTCCACTTGACCCTCCACTGTGACTACTTTGTCTGTTATCGTGGCTCTTATAGCTAGTCCTGTGGGGCTCATCAAGGTTCACCCGGGTCACGTCCTTTAGATTTTTCCAACATCACTAAGTTACTTTTGGATACCTCCCCATTTGGAGTTCGAAAAGCTCTCCACGCGCTAACGAATTGCGACGTACCCAGTTCGTGACCCCAAAGAACGCTGCACCCGACAAGGACCGAGTCCCAGTCCCAAAGTGCGTTTGGAGGTGAAGTCGACTTTCCAAAGACCGTGCCATCCACTTCCATGGACTGTGTCATCAGCCAGAAACGACCCATGGGACTGCCGAGAAACGGCCAGGGGTGGTGCCAGGGGGGCCAATGGGGAGGCATATAGGGCATATACATCGAGTGTCTGGGTCATGTAATTCCGGTAGAACTGCAGGACTCCCAAAAAGGGAGCATTTCAACACCTCATCCAGTGACTGGAGGTGTTGAAGCCCATTCCTACCTACACACAACTCCATACAAACAAACAGGTCTCCCAGCTAGCGGCCCTTTCTCCCAGGCTCTGCAACTGTTGCTCCACCATGGCCTTCTTCAAAGGCCCCAAGGGTTCGCTCAGAAGCCGGTGAAGCTGCAGCAGTCGTGGGTCTTCCACACGCACCTCCTCCCCCGCCTGGGGCGATCGATCGCACGACAGCATGGGGAGTGATGCCAGCCCCCCCAAGAGAACACACACTAGAAAACCACGGACCAAATGGGGGGGAGGTGTTAGATGGTGTTTAGGGCCTATAGGGTTTGGCGGAATTCTTGGACCCAACACGACCGCTACGGAGTGGTGGTTCCGGTCCCAAAAAGCGAATGAGACTCCCTGAGGTCGTATTTTTCGGTGGCTTAAGAGGCACAGTTCAAGAATGACAGGCCTGAGGTTTTGGGTGATGTTCTAGTCCTATAGGTCAGTTTTCCGATTGGCTCGTCCAAGCAAGGTGAACCCAAGAACCCAGAAGCAAACCAGGGGCTGTGGTTGGCGAACATGGTGCGGTGTTTTGGGGCAGGAAGCCACAAGCAGAAGAGACCAAAAAGACATACCTGGAGTCGACCACCTCGGAAAATGCGTACAGTCACAAGTACAGTCGTACCTGTCTTTATGGGGTCATGTCCCATTTTCTAAGGTACTTGAAGTCAGGTCGAGGTATGAAGAGAACGGCAAGCTTTCAGTTTCAGTGAGGAAGGTTTCATGTAGAATCACAGAGTATGTAGAATCCGACAGTGCATGTAGAATCTGGCAAACATCCCCCTTGTGGAGGTCTCTGGAATCCGTGACTTCATTTTATAAGGAACAATCATTTATAAAATGGAAACCCACATGCTGCTGCTTTATAAAATGAGAACCCGACCTTTTTATATAATAGTGACCAGGATTCAGAGACCAAAAAAAAAAAATTTCAGAGGCACCTTTTGTCTCTTTATGGAATGGCGTTCCAGATCCAGTGATCATTTTGATCCGAAAATGGCCAATGTTTATGGAATGCAGAGCCAGGTTCGGCTTCATCCTCACAGGATCTCTTGCGACAGACTCAAAAATCCTCTGTGCGGACAAGTCTGTGATTCTAACTTTCTAATCCCCCTTGTGGAGGTCTCTGGGGTGAGGGATTTGATTTTATAAGGAAAACCCATTTATAAAATGGAATCCCTCAGGCTGCTGCTTTATAAAATGAGAACCCGACCTTCTTGTATAATAGAATGCCACAGAGAATGAGCAAAAAACATGAAATTTCACAGACGCCTTTTTTCTCTTTATGGAATGGCTTTCCATGAGCAGGTGATCATTTTGATCCGAAAATTGCCATTGTTTTTGGAATGCTCAACCATGTTCAGCTATCCTCTCAGGATCTCTTGCGCGGACAAGTCTGTGATTCTAACTTTCTATGTAACTTCTGTAGTTCTAACTTTCTGTGATTCTAACTTTTTTACAAACCACACAGGGCTGTGTCTGGCTGCAGAATGGATTAGAACGGCAGTGTTGTTGGAGGTGCTGGGCGACAAGTTCCACCATGTTCATCCATGGCTGTTGTTGATCCTTGTTTGTTTTGGTGACTGTATTGTTTGGATTTGTTTGGACATGTTTGGACTTTGAATAGTGTCAGTGTCATCCCTTTTTTTTCATTGATTCACCGCCCTGAGTGGAGGGTGTGAACAAATACAATCGGATACAATGGAATGCAAGGGGAATGGTATATAAAATGAGTATTGTGGGGAGGGTGTGGACAAATACGATGGGCTTTTGGGAGGTGACAATGTTTAATGGATTTACCATCTTTTCCCTGGGAGGGTGTGCACAAATATGATGGGCTTTTGGGAGGTGACAATGTTTATAAAATGGGTTTACCACCTTTTTCCTGGGAGGGTGTACATAAATACGATGGGCATGGTGAAGTTTATAAAATGAGGCGACCCAACCTCCGGGTTTTGTGTCACTTTTTTGCGCTGTGGTTGGCTCCCTTACAATAGTGGCTCTACAACCAAGGTTTCTATTACATACCTGGGTTTGCATGGGCCTATCACACTATAATGAGCCATTTATGGTTTAGCACTATTGTGGCTATAGGCTCCATGTAGGCAAATCCTATGCAGGACTAGTTTCTGTTAACTCTTTTTGAAGAAGAAGAATTCACTCAAAACATCTCAAATGAATGAAAGTCAGCTTTATAATATCAAACAAGGGAACAACTGTGCAATTTAAGACATGTGATAGCAACCGAATCAAAACATTTCCATCCATTTCCCATCATTTCCCGTGCCAAAGACAATGCACAACTTGAATGTGGCACATGGTGAATGCTCAGGTGTTGATCAGCACACAAAAACATGTCAAAATGTTCAATGAACATCAATGAACATATTTATGTGTGCAGTGTTTTTCCTTTTGGCATTGTTGTGTTTCACATGTTTTTGCTTGCAAGTTTGTCGAGATGATTGATTTCGGTTGCTATCACTTGTCTTAAATTGCACAGTTGCTTCTATGTTTCTAAATTTAAGGTTGCCTTTCATTCTTTTGAGATGTTTTGAGTGTGATTCTTCTTCAAACAGAATTCACAGAAACTAGTCCTGCATAGGATTTACCTTCAGGGAGCCTATTGCGACTATACGGCTAAACCATAAATGGCTCATTATGGTGTGATAGGCCCATGCAAACCAAGGTCATTAGAAACCTTGGTTGTAGAGCCACTATTGTAAGGGAGCCAACCACAGCGCAAAAAAGTGACACAAAACCCGGAGGTTGGGTCGCCTCATTTTATAAACTTCACCATGCCCATCGTATTTATGTACACCCTCCCAGGGAAAAGATGGTAAACCCATTTTATAAACATTGTCACCTCCCAAAAGCCCATCGTATTTGTGCACACCCTCCCAGGGAAAAGCTGGTAAACCCATTTTATAAACCTTTTTCCCCCTCCCAAGGCCCATCGTATTTGTCCACACCCTCTCAGGAAAAAGCTGACA